CTATAATGATTGAACGGATGTCGTTGAGGCTTGAAATTGATCGAAATCGCAAAAATCCGGGAATTGAACCAAATCAATAGAGCCCGCTGACGCTGCCCTCGACGCCGCCGATGACGGACTTTTCCCGAGACTTAGGATTTAATTTCAATAGAGCGCGCCAACGGTGAGATCTCGAAAAAACACCTTTAACCGCGATTTTGACCAGTCAACTGCCACTATTCATCATCCCTTTCCTCTGAAAAACAAAATTTTTGACCTAGGGCTTGAGAGATCATGGATTGGGAGGTGATTTCACGGCATTTAGACACCGGATTTGAGCATCACTCCACATTGAGGAGAACCAAAAAATTTGAGAATGTGAAGAAGATATTCGGAAGTAATTCATGGAACTTAGTGTTGAACTCTTAGAATTACTCTTGGAAGCCATTATTTACACATTTGAAGTATATTTTGGAATTTTTCTATTATTGTGTTTAGATTGAAATGGCTCCACGATAAAAGAGACGACTTGAGTACAACGAGTCTTGCTTCGTCAATGTGAAGGCTCAATCAAGATTTACTTCAGTATTTGAACGAAAGATGTGTATACAAGATCGAGTTTTTGAGAGTCCGGGAGGAGAAATTAAATGAGTTATTACCAAGCGGAGGTGGGAAAACTTCTGTTACACCACCAATAAGGCTGCTACAAATATTATGAAAGAATTCTATGCCAACGTGTTATATTCTGAAGTTAATTTATTCTATTATGAAGAAGGAATCGTTCAAGTGCGGGGATTTCCTATTTAATTTAATGCCGCCCGCATTAACACCTTTTACGATGTCCCAGACTCTTAGAACTGCCATTATGAATCCTTCAGTACGATGGAAGGCCCCATGAATGATGTGATTAATTTTCTCACTAATGGGAAAGGAATGAGGAAGATTAAGCAACGAGAACGGGTAAATTTTTCTGCTTCCATGTTAAATACCACCTCTAAAGCGTGACACTATTTTACTTCATCTACTCTGTTACCAACTTATCACCATAGTGAGGTAACTAGAGATAGAGCTATTCTGAATTTCTGTATTCAAAATAATAGAAATATAAATGTGGTGAGGATCATTTTTAAGAATATATTGACTACGACAATGAGTGAAACAAGTGGAGGTCTAGGATATCCTGACCTTATTTATGCACTTTGCCAACTTTCTGGAGTGGAAGCTAAAGATGATGAGGAATGGGTTTACCCTATGAAACCCATTAATAAAGCTAATTTGAAAACTTTCCCATGAGAAATGGAGAATTGAGAGTAGGAGTCAAGAACCTTCTACTAGTAGAGATGTCCCCTCTACAAGTTATGACCTTCCACCTTCTAGTTCCCTTACCCTAACTGACTTCATGAATGAGTTTGAGTTGACCTTGAGTATAGAATTAATAAATGAAAGGATTGGAGGTTTATAACATCGACATAATTATGATAGTGAGTACCTTCAAAGACATTCAAATTTTGAGATAGCTTATTACAAAGCTCAGACCCGACACTACAGAGGTGAGCCTGATGTTACTTTTCTTAAATGCCCCCGATATACTCAGTATCAACCCAATCCACCTGCTGATAGGGGTGTAAACAAACCAAACACGAACGAACAGCGGTCGTGTTCGTGTTTGGTTCGTTTGAAATATAATTTGTTTGAAATAGGCTCTTGTTCGAAATTGTTCGTGAATGGTCAGTTCGTGTTCGGTTCGGAATTGTTCGAATTGTTTGAATTCGAAATGTTCGAGATGTTCGAAATGTTCGAGATGTTCGAAATGTTCGAAATGTTCGAAATGTTTGAAATGTCTAAAATATTTGAAAATTTTCAAAATTGTATATATTTTTGCAATTGTTAAATAGACAACAACTTAAATATTAATTCCCATATCTTTTAAAAAATTGAATTACATCAATTTATCTTTTAAAAATTAAAATGCATCTTTATAAAATATATAAGAAATAATAATTACTTCTCAAACTACAAAAAAAAAATAATAACAAACTTCAATAAAATTATTCAATGTCTAAAAACTCATTACATCATCACATCCAATAATTCAAAAACATTCCAATAATCCAATTACATAATAACGAATTGTATCATGCAATGTGGTACAATTTACTTCACAAGAAACTATCCTACTTTCCAGTTGACGCTGCTGCTTTTTCTGACTTTTTGAATGCGCTTCCCTTTCTTTAACATGTCTAGGTATATCATCTCTTCCTAAAAGAGAAAAAAATAACAGTAACGTTTACTCTATTTGATATGAGATGAAATTAAAGTGTGTAGCTACCTATTGACAATACTCACTCTGTTTTTCTATATCATCATCAAACAGCTCACTAAGGCATTTCAACCCATGAATTTGTTCATTCGCAGAACTTGTATTAGAATTTTCGTCAAACCATGGAGCTGAAGTTTTTTCACCCTGATTGCCACATTTGTCTGTCATCATAAACACCCAATACCTGGTTAAGCCTTTTTTAACATTCAAGAATAGTCATATCTTGTTTGGGAAGCACATCAAATTAAATGATGGATGAAAACCAAAAAATAAAAGATTGATAACATTGACCTGTTGTTTTATTTGTATCATCTTTGAGAAACTCAGGACCAGACTCGATATGTGAAAGGCCTTTAGCAGTAGTTGCTACATAACCAACTTCCTTCTTGTCTGATTTCTTCACTTGGGTAACAATTTCAGATTCAAAAGCTTTACTAGCAGCAGAGAAATAATCACAGTTGGAAGGTAGCTCAACTTCCTGAACAATAATCTCAGGAAATCTTGCGAGTCTTCCTTCAAATTCATTTCTTTCTTTAGAATCAGAGGGCATGACAAGCATAACCCCTTTTCCCGCTCATTTGTGCAGGCATAATAAATTTGAGGCTAATTGTTTTGAAGAAAATGTGATCTCCAATATTTCAGTATTTCATGAAATGATATAAGAAAATGTTAGCTAATAGAAATACAACTTGCTCGATCCTGACATTCATATTCGCATCCAAAGTTATTTCCAAGATTCAACTCCAAACAACTTCAACCAAAGTAATGTATAAGCAATGACCGAAATTAA